CTGCTTTGAGGCCATAAACTCATTCAGATCAAAACAAATTTCTGCGTGACATTCTTGCGATGTATTAACAAACACTTGAAGTTAAAGCTTGTTATTATTGGGGAGAGGCCATTGTTTCCGTTGGTTCTCTACTTTAAATATATTTTATATTAACCGCACTAGTTCAATTTGCACAATCCCTTGCAATTTACGCTTCCAGGCGTAAAGGATGTGGGGTGATATTTAAGTCGCTGATTTTTACTTTAAAGAGGTTATCACAACAAACATCTCAAAATCTCATTTTTTTTAATTCTTCAAAGGGTCGATTTCTTATTTTCTCGATGGTTATGTATTTACTTAGCACATTTCAGCAATGACGACGCTATTAATTTTCTCGAGGGGATGAATACAACAATTTTAATCGTTGTTCTATAACTATTAAATCAATAATATCTTGAGAAAATTTTAAAAATCCTTTCCATAGACTTTAAGAAAAATATGAAAGTATGACTTTACAAATTTAAACATTAACTTAGCTAATAAAATTTTCAGGTGAGATAATAAAATTTGCAGATATCAGAAAGTTTTTGGTGAGGATGATCTGATAAATTTTTGCTAGTGTTTTACAATCTACTCGATTAAAACACATCTAAAATTTCACAACTATCAATCCATTAGTTTTGTATATTGCCTTATCTAATCAAATCGGCAAACGTAAATAGGAGATCTATATTTTATTCTTTAGGAGTTATGGAACACCGAGAAAATATGAAATGAGACATTCACCTAACGGACGAAGCTTACCCTTGAGAAGGAAAAGTATATGGTCTTTAGAAAACATGTTCAGGTGATTTTTTTTTTTATCTCTTTTTTAAACACATATTATTTTTTTCTAACAATTTAATAATAACATCTATTGAAAACAAAATAAAAATTTCCTTTCTTGAAATTTTGTTTACGAAGACTAATTAATCCTAAATCAGTGAAATAGTAATTCTGCTTTTGAAGAGAAGCGAACAATAATTAATAATGATACTATACAATTTTTTATCTAAGTATGACTATCGCCCTGCAACACGTATTTTAAAAAATATGAATGCAGTGATAAACCACAAGTATAGACTCATCATATTTTGCTTATTTTAGATAGGATTTATTTGAGAAAATTTTGAGATGACGTCCTCAATTTTTCGGAGGAATAAACAAATATATCTTGAATAAAAATTTATAATGCTCACGACCACCTTAAAGCGTCTATAGTCGTTGTGACATCATTATATTGTATGATGGATGATTAGACAAATAAATTTTAGTTGATGTCATCAATTTTTCAGAGGAAATAAGTAAACAGATATATTTTGATTAACAATTTGCCATGCTTACGATAACGTTAAAACGTCTGAAAGATTTCAGAGCATTCGGTTTTGCAGTTACTGATTTATTCAATAAAATGAGTTGACTCATACATTAATTTTTTTGAGTCACCATGTATAAGCAAATACTATTAATACGGATAAATCACAAGTATAGACTCATCATATTTTGTACATTCTAGGTAGGATTTATTCGGCACAATTTTTTCGGGGGAATAAACAAATATATTTTGATTAAAAATGTATCATGCTTATGATAACTTTAATCCATCTGATACATTTTAGAGGATTCGGTTTTGCAGATTCAAAATTAAATTGCAAAACGTTACATAATTTTGATTTTTTTTTCCAAAAATCTGGACGTTTTGGGTAAAAATTCAACAGGGATTCATACACTACACTTGTATATGTAAGACTGTATTATTTTATACAATTTAAAACCTATTTACTAGGTACAATTTTGAGGTGACGTCATCACATTATTGGTGGGCATGATTAGACAAGGTTTGGTTTTAGTATTTTACTATCTATATGATATTCATAATAGACATAAAATTTGACATCAATCGGTCCAATAGTTTCGGAGATTATCTGTCGTAACAAAAATCGTCACGGACGACGGATAGACAGACAGACGGAAACGAGAAACCTTTTTCTTCGTATTCTAAGGTTCATGAAAGGTCGAGAAAACGTAAAAGTAGATTCGACGGACTCGATTACAATACTTCCTGAGCGTAAGCGAAAATGTAATCGAGAATGGTTCACCCCATTTTCTCAAAAATTATAATAATGTCACACTCACCTATATCCTATATTGAACAACAAAAAAATAATTGTTAATACAGTGACAGCTCCTCGCCTACAATAATATTCGGACCGTTTTGCTGTATTGTATCTTAATTAATTAATCTTCTCCTCTGCTTTAAGTGCAACGTGATTATAGTTGAATAATATAAGCACTCGAAGTGAAGTATGTAATTACTAAGAGTACATTTGTACATTTTCCCGTTTATTATCTGGTTTAAATATATTTTATATCGTCCGCACTTGTGTGCAGTGGTTGATTTACGCCACTGGTTTTTACTTGGTAGAGCTTATCACAAAACAAACATCGCAAAATCATATTTTATAATTTTTCATAAAAGCATGTTTTGTTGGACTGTGCTTCGGGGGCGACAGAAGTTCTGTCGAAATAAACTTCGACCAATTTTTACTTACACTTCCATGTTGCTATATTGTAGTAACCCTTATACGCAATAAAATTACATATGAAATAGACACCGTGTTCACCTACAACTTTCAACCCATAAATAACTCTCGGTGCAGAATCAATTACTTGAGACTTAAATTCTATGTTATTCATATAAACCTGTTAAAAATTCGGAAAATACTTTTACAAAAGTTACATAGTTGTATGAATTTCTCTTACATTCTTATTAATGGCATTATTATATTAATACTTGTCGATATATGTATGACACTACGTGTACTTTTTACTTCCCGAGCATAAACTAAGGACGTACTGCAATAAGGTCCATCCAAGAATAGCTACTTTCATGTTTTCTCTACGTTTCATGACCCCTAGATTATGAAAAAGTAGGTTTCGGATCTCCGAAGCTACTAAGCAACTGTACCAATGATGGTCAAATTTTATATAGGGATATTGTGTAAATGGTAAAACGCTAACCAAAATTCGTCTAGGCCAATCTTGGAATGACGTCATCTCGAGAATTAACAGTAGAACATGTTATATATTTAAATTTCATGAAATAAGATACTTCTGCACTTGTGGTTTATGAATACGAGTAAATGTTTATACTAGATATTCAGATTTTTTTGAAAAGAAATCAAAGTTTTATGGCAGCATTTTGCAATTTAACTTTGAAACTGTTAAACCGAATGTTCTGAAATCTTACAAATATTTTATGGTTGTCATAGGCATGGTAAATTATTAATCAGAATTCAATCGTTTATTTCCGCTCAAAAAAAATGATGATCTCAAAATTTTGCCTATCTAAAATATGCAAAATATTATAAACTTATATTTCTGGTTTATTTATTATACCTTCAGAGTTTTTAGAATTACTTATACACGATGACAAAAAAATTAATTAATGAGACAATCTATATTTTGTTGATCAAATCAAAAACGACTCACCCCGTTTTCTCGAAAATTTGAATATACAGTACTCTTATTATTGGTATTACACTGCACCTATTTAAATTGTTACACGTGTCCTTGCTAAAATGACGATGACATCATCATAAAATTTTGTAGTGAGAAAATTTACTTAAAATGAGTACACATAGCATGCTTCTTTACTTGGCACTTTAGCAGTCCATACATATCTTTATTTTAACTTATAGGGTCTACCATCAAAAAATAAAATTGTTAAAATTTAATTTTATGATTTTTCGAAGAATCTGTATTTCTTTGCCTGCACTTCAAGGGCGAGAGAAGTTCTATCTAAATAATTTTAATATACAAATTAACATGCATGGAGTACTACTACTATTGATCTCAGATATTCTTTTCCATGCCCAATATTAATATGTACGTTAGACCAAAGTGACTTGAAATTTTGTTTAGGACACATTTCTTACTTTATTTCCCAAAAAATATATATAATCTAATTGGTTTACATTTTATTTCCACACAGCATAATTATAAATTATTTTAGAAGACGTTATCTACATATTTTCAATTCATAAATCTCTAAAAATAAACAGATGTCTTTATAACCACAGTGCATTGCTCACGTCGGTGAGTTACTGTGTATACCTACTGACGGTGGTTACCCAAGTACCGCACAAATATTAGTTATTTTCATCTGTGTAAACTTGTATTTGTAAATATATAGTTTACAATTTAATATAACGTAGAGCATCGCTTCCAACATACACAAAAGCGAAGCTATACCTACTTTCTTTTTCTGTTATTCTGTTGCTAACCAAACCCCAAACTTTAAATCTAAATACACTTGTGTCCCTTGTTTTCAACGACTTTTGTTGGACTTTCTTTAATATGACTGCATGACGCTAAAACGCTGTTTCTAGAATAAATTCAATAAACTAAAGTCTTTCAGAGAAGAAGATTTATTTTTATTTCTTTTTTTTTTTAATATGAAATACGAATAAACAAAATATCTAATTGTATCATTCATTATTATTATTAGGTCTCCTTAAGTCATAAGCGCGACGTTCAAGATATTATTTATAAACCATTTTTATTCATAACATTTTGTGTAAACCATACTGTAATATATCTTACAGATCTCTCTAAAATATAATAAAATTAATACAATGCAGTAGCATAGCCACAAATTTAAACTGTTGACTAAGAGTACTTTACGTTAATTTATATTCTTATATTCTAATAAATGAACAAAAGCTGTTTAGCGATTTTTAGCATATGTTCGTTATTTACTTATAATTGGCTTCATATTCGTTTGTTGTTAGTTTTATCTTTGCGGTTTAAAAAATATTATCAATGAAAACCTATAAAACATTGAGAACAAATTACGCCAAAATATGGCTGAAACGATCAGCATAATATCTACCGAAGGAGACATTCAGAAACAATTGGTCTCAGACAAAATTGTATCTATTATAAATAATAAGTTCAATTTAAAAGTTAAGATGGCTTACCCTCCGCCGGAAGTAGGATGACGTAAAGAAACAATTTGAAGGCGTTCTACTGTTGTGGAGAATTAGCCACTTATAAAATAATCACTAGTTTGTCTGTAGCTTGATTCATATAGCAGTTATCTACTAAACCGAATTAGAATGCATATCATTTTGACCGTTTGCGATAATTAAGGTGCAAAAAAATTGAATTGAATATTTTGTATTCTTCATATCTAACTCATTAATCTAAGCACGTAATCTAGGTGCTATTCGTAACGACTTCACTTTACCATATGATAAATCTTACAAAAAAACAGCCGAGATAATAGAAATATCGAGATATGTCTCTTGTTTACACAACAAAACTGATAATTATTAACGATTGCGTATAATTTCAAACTTTAAGACGGTGGCGCGCACTACCCGAAAGCAACAACAAGATATTTATCAAAGCAACTTACTGGCGAACAAAACACCGACAGACTGGCGAAGGTTCACGAAAAATTATACGTGGTAACGTTCTCCTTGTTATTCCTTTCGAAATCGTACATGATGACAAAACTTGTTAATAAGGACACAAATATTGCTAAAATGGACAAAATTTGTTCTTAAATGTTGTGTAAAGCTTCAAGCGTGCGTTCAATCCTCGTTACAGTATTTGACATTTTTTTAGAAAAAAAAAAAATTATAAAAAACGACCAACGTTTTTTAAAAAAAAAAAACTACTTTCAATTAGTTAACTCCCAAAATGAGTTTGGCTCATTTTATAAAGTGAAATAAATCATATAAGGAATAAGATATAACTGACACGTAGCGAAGGCTTGACTAATTTCATCTAATTGCAGGTGTAAATTAAGAAAAATTTCTAGGTACACAGATTTTTGACCTTCAATGAAAATTTTGCATTTTATTTAACGTTACGTCATCTTGAGTAAGTATGGAAGCCATAATTTAAAATCACATTAAGCTGTTGCAAATCACACGTTTTTATCATCTTAACATTATTATCACATTTATTCAAACACATATTAAATATTGGTTAATTAGTGATGTAATATTGTAAGTTGTGATTAGATACTATTATTTGAAAATGAAAACTAATATTTGTAGAAATTTTTTAATAGGTTTGTGTCAAAAAAAAAGAAAATTCATTCTTGCTTACAAGAAACTATAAAACTCGTATTATTACTTTGATACAGATGTATACTACATTTTACGTTATACAAGAAATAATGGTATTTTTTTAGATAAACTGGAAGTAATGCATCATTTTTTCGCGTTAATAGGAGTACGAACAGCAAGCGGAGCCTATTAACATTTACGAGCCTTATCAAAGGCATCGCTCATAACAGAAAAAGCAACAACACTTTTGTCGCTACCAAGAGAACAAATCAAGCCGATGTCACTGGTTTTGATGGCACAATATTGAACAAATCGTACTCTAAAATTACAATAGAGTAGGCTCCAAGTTTTTCAAGTGATTTTACACTCACAACAAAACTATCAGCGTTACCAAAAATTACAGTGTCTACCAGAAGAAATAAAAAAAAAATTGTATTAATAGTAATAATAATATTGGTTTCAGAATTTGGGTGGATCTTCTCTGGTAGCATAATAAAAATTGGTCTAAAGAGTTTAGACAGTACTTCCCTCGCTGTCGGAAACTTGACGACTGCATGGCTATTGTGTTTTTTTTTTCTCATTACATTTTTGTAGTGTGAAATTTGAAAAAAAAATTGCGATGACGTCATCAACATTTTTGCAAGGACACGTATATCAGTTGGGATAGATGTAGTGTAATACTAAGAATAAAATTATTGTATTCCCAAATTTTCCGGAAAATGAATTGGGTCGTTTTGAATATTGATTTGTTATAATCAATAAAATAACGAAACAATTTACTCACGTATACGGCGCCGGTGAGAGGCAACTGAAAATCGTTTATGTATAAGCATTCTTAATTTAAGATGACAAGCATAACAGCATACGTGAGAGTCAAACAGAGAAACTGTAAACAAAACGACCATCGGTTTTATTGCTTCGACTTCCGCTTATTATATAAAACATTGGGTTTTATTTTAATTTTTGACGGTGGAATTCACAATTGGTTGAATATAAACATGTCTATTCCACATTCGCGGAACCTAGACAGCGCACAAAACAAATGCACCTCTGTAATGTTAAAGTCGATGTAAATAAGCGTGCTACCCTTATGTTTCAACCGAGTATATGCAAATCGAAAAAATATGAATGGAATGATAAATCACAAGTACAGACTCATCATATTTTTCACATGTTAGATAGGATTTATTCAGCAAAATTTTGTGGTGACGTCATAAATTTTTTAGGAGGGACGACCAAATACATTTTGATCAAAAATTTACCATGGTTATGATAACTTTAAAATATCTCCAAGATTTCACAGCATTCGGTTCTGTAATTTCTGATTAAATCAATAAAATAAATTGACGCATTCATTAATTTTTTTGAGTCACCCTGTATATGCAAATCCAAAAAATATTATTGGATTGATAAATCACAAGTACAGACTCATCATATTTTGTACATTTTAGATAGGATTTATTCAGCAAAATTTTCGAGTGACGTCATCAATTTTTTAGGGGGAAAGAGCAAATACATTTTATAAAAAATTTACCATGCTTATGATAACTTTAAAACATCTCCAAGATTTCAAAGCATTCGGTTCTGTAATTCCTGATTAAATCAATAAAATAAATTGACGCATTCATTAATTTTTTTCAGTCACCCTGTATATGCAAATCGAAAAAATTTGAATGAAATGATAAATCACAAGAAGAGACTCATCATATTTTGTACATTTTAGATAGGATTTATTCAGCAAAATTTTGTGGTGACGTCATAAATTTTTTAGGAGGGACGACCAAATACATTTTGATCAAAAATTTACCATGCTTATGATAATTTTAAAACATCTTCAAGATTTCAAAGCATTCGGTTTTGCAGTTCCTGAGTAAATCAGTAAAATAAATTTTGCGCATTCATTAATTTTTTCGAGTCACCCTGTATATAAGCAAATCCAAAAAAATATGAATGGAGTGATATATCACAAGTACAGACGCATCATATTTTGTACATTTTAGATAGGATTTATTCGTCAAACTTTTGAGCTGACGTCATCAAGTTTTTGGAGGGGATAACCAAATATATTTTGACTAAAGATTTATGATGCTCTTTAGAGCCTTAAAACATCTGCAATATTTCAAAACATTCGGGTTAGCAGATTCAAAATTAAATTGCAAAATGTTGTTTTATAATTTTGATTTTTTTTCCAAAAATCTGGACGCTTCGGGTAAAAACTGAATTCGGAGTCGTAAACTACATGTGTAGGACTATGTTATTTTATACAATTTAAGACCCATTTACTATGTACAATTTTGAAGTGACGTCATCGCATTAGTGGTGGGGATGATTAGACAAATTTTGGTTAGCGTTTTACCATCTACATGATATTCCTAATATAAGTACAACATTTCACAACAATCGGTCCAGTACTTTCGGAGATTATCTGTCTAATAAAAATCCGGGACGGCAGACAGACGGACAGACGGACAGACGGACAGACGGACGGACAGACGGACAGACAGACGGAAATGGGAGACCTATTTCTTCGTATTCTAGGGGTCATGAAAGATCGAGAAAACGTAAAAGTAGAGAGTCGGCCGATGGACTCGATTACAATACTTCCCTGTGCTTACGCTCGGGAAGTAAAAAACGAAAAAAAAAAAAAACAAGAAAGGCATAACTGTAAAAAGCATGTTAACAAGAATAAAAAAAGATCAACAATTTGCAAAAACTAGGAAAACCGGTCGACTAATAACCAATTCAGATCGGGCAAGAAATTCAAGACCAAAACAAAATCTACATACACTCACAAGAACAGCATCAGTATCGGTAACAGCCAGATACTCTCACCCGGTGGTGGCAAATTCCTGTATCAAAAATACACCAATGGTTAACACCAATAAAAGAAACTGTAGCCCAGGTTCAAGACACCAAAAGAATTAGAAAAAGAGAGAGAAGAAGTACAGTCCGAGCCTCAAGAAACAACGTGGCGAAACACACCTCTGCCTCTGCACACTGTAAGATCCAACATCATCACCAGAAGCATCATTCCACCGATCACTACTACAGACTGCATAGCATGGTACGCTTCTTCAGAAAGTGGGTATATCAGTGAGTATCTTTTTTGTAGTAGGTACATATTTGGAACACTTTTAGAAATTTGTTAAATCAAGTGTTGATGATTCCGTATTACCTGTTATGGATAATCATATCATCTATTCGACTTTACAAATGTATGGGTTCTGTAAAGCAAACTGGTTTGTCCTCTTAACTATCCCAATATACTCATCACATCGGATGCAATAATATAGCTAAACACTTACAAAGGAAGACGAAAGCGAAATAATGTCACTGAAATATTCACTTTAACCTCATGTAAAGAAAATTTAATCAAAAAGTGGGTCGAAGGTTATTTTTACAAGACTTCCCTCGCCCCTAAAACATAGTCGGATAGCTTCGAAAAATTATAACATTTAACTTTGAGAATTTATTTTTTTTTTTTTTTGTTAATGATTACCTCTATGCGCTAAAATTAATATACAGGTTGCTAAAAAGTATGGATATAGCTAAATACTTCCAGAAGGTTTTATCAGAACTCACTGACATTTGGTGTACCTACAGGTAAAAGTATTTAAGCCCTATTCTCTGAAATATTATTCAAATTTCCATCAACATTTGTTTTGGAGATACAAGACCAACTTTTTTTTTTAATGACACGTGAAGTCAAATTTAGTATTTTTGAAAAAAGCATTTTTTGCATTCAGTGGTGTAACACTGGCCTTTCTTTATTTGCACAAAAAAATTAAAAAACAACATTAAAATAATACAATTTGGAAAATGTGAAATTTATAATTTGGCTTAAGAAATGATGTCTTTAACTTTCACTATCATTATTTCTTTACCACCTGTACGTGTAATAATTGTTGTTAAGTTTAATTATTGTAAAAAATAACACATTTAACTGAAATAAAACACTTTTTAATAAATAAAAAACGTGGTCCTGGAGGTCGATTCCCGGTTAGGATGAATTTTGTTGAAAAGCGTCAGAATCATACAAATCTCATTGTTAAATTAATTATTATTGCACACAAGTTTGATTTTTGATTTTTCACTAACATTGCAAGTGGCAGATTGCTAACAATAACATTTTCATTTATTTCCAAGGCTAACTAAATTTAATAATATTTTTCCAAATTGCATTATTTTAATACATAAGCATATTTTATTTTTTTTTTTTTTACCTAATGCGTGAATTTAACTGGAGGGGAAGATCGATAAAACCTAAAACTTGACGAAGACTACCATCAGCTAACGAGACATCCGGATGTTCTTGTAATTGCAAGTTGAGAGAACGAAGTTTTTCCCAACCGGGACCTCCGACAATGGTGGAACTTGATCCTGAATCCAATAATCCAACTAACGCAATCCCTAAAACTGAAACTCGTAAATAAGGCCTTGGATCTCCCGATGAAGCTAAAAACTTGGAATTCACCGCCTGAATCTCATCTTTCCTGCACTCTAACCTAACAAATTCCAACCACGTTTTCCAAGAATCATCCACCGGTTGTCGCTGCGAAACCCCTAGCCGGTGTTCTAGTGGTTTCTTTGTCCGTTTCCCGATAGTCGAGCTGCGTTCCTACATTGACAAGTGGATGTAGTCACGTCTCGTTTCCCGCATTTAAAACAAAATCGACCATTTCGTGGAGCTCGACACTGGGAAAAATAATGACCCGAGCCCCTACAATTCCAGCAAAGAATCGAACCAACGGATGAAGTTTGAGCCACCATTCGAGACTTGACGAGAGTAGGCCCTGCTAAATCCGGTTCTAAGCAGGATGCTTTCGGGACATTAGGCCGAGGAGCCGTCGCCAAAATTCGTACGGTCTCCAATTTCTTGCAGATGTCTAAAAGTTGATCGACACTACTGATGTCAACCAAACCGATTCCCTGAATCAAATATGGGGCAAGGTTGCGTTGCAAGACGCGTAATTTCTCTTCCTCTGAGGGTGGGACAGATAACCGATTGAACAAATTTTTCAAACATGCAAAATAACTCCCCACACTCTCATTCGGACCTTGCACTCGTGTCCTAATTTCCTGCCACAATTCCGTCGCATAATCAAATGGGAGAAACTCTTTTCGAAGCTCCCTAACAAAACCCGTCCATGACAGAACCGACGTTTTTACCGAACGATACCAAATTAACGCCTGGTCCTCCAGGAGATCAACTATCGAGTTGAGCAGTTCGACCTCTGAGACGCCTCGCGCAACTCTAAGCTCTTCCACCCTCTCTAGAAAGGCATTAACGCTCATCCCCTGTTTATTTCCTGAAAATTTCAAGCCCCATTGGCAAACAGGAACTTGGTGCTTGTGGATATTTACGACCTGCGCTCCCAAAAGTGGAACCGTCGGCGGTTGCACGTTTGGGTCGTTTGGCTCTACCGTCGCGTCCAGTTTAGAATCAACTAAAACTTCAATGCTGCCCAACTGATTGAATAGGTTGGTCAGACGATCTGCCATTTGATCACGTTCCTCCTCCGTTAACCTAAGCCTAACTCGACTAACGCGTCCGTACAAGTGTCTTAACTTAGTCTCAACATTTCGTTCCTCTGTGCTGTTTTTCGCAATAGACCGCCGACTTTGGACAAAACCGTAAAGTTGAGCTATTTTCTCCGTACAAATCAGCATCTCGGTTTCCACAACTAAGCGAAAGGTCGGGCTAAAAACCAAGTCGCCAAACTCTTCCGTTCGTATTAATTCCGATAACCTCCTTCGCATCGCCCCTACGGTTTCATGACCAATGTCGTCAACCCCTCGTACCGCCAGCTCATACAAGAGCTCATCTCGAGTGAGCCTATGAGAATCCATAGCTTAGATATATATGTATATATATAGGACGCAACTTAAGATTACCTCAACCCTAAAAATTATACCTACTCAAAAATCAGTTATCACCCAATCACTACAGTCAGAACAAGCCCCACGTTCCGGGCGCCAAATTAATTGTTACGTGGCTCTCGACCGCGACTAGGCTCAACCGGGAAGGCCGTGGGTGATGGTACAAAAAAAAATAAAATAAAATTGGAGCCTACAATTAATTAAATTTATTTAGAACGGGGGAGGTGAGTGACTGTGTGACTGAGTACAAACTATCGATCTAAATATAAAAAAAAACCTAAATAAGTTACTATTCTAACCCTATGAGTACTTCGCGTCCGTACCGCAACAGTGCCGTTCCTGGCGGTGGCGAAGATGCCGAACGCGAATATACTTAAATAATAAAAAAATACAAGAAAATAAAATAATACCTAATACCCTATAACTAACGCCTCTCCTTCTTTCCGGAGTCCAACACGGCGTCCTCACTTAGAAAATGGGGTGGGGCGGGGCGGCTAGTTGACCTTCGTCCAAACTTCACACAGAAAAACCTTTCCACGCCAAGAGCGCAAAAAGATGGCAACACGTAGAAACGAGGAGGGAAAAAAAACCCAATGGTAAAAATAAAGCGAAGAAAGAAAAAGAAAAAGGCCTGAAAAGAAGATTAACTAAATTTCAATCCAGAACCCAATCTAGTAATTACCTCTGATGGTGTGCGGCCTTAAAGTGAATTTTCGGGGGTCTCAAAACACAGGACACACGTCCTCGTTCCCAAATGCGGTGGCCTCAAATCGTCTCTAACGCAATTTGGAGAAGAGTAATGCCACAACTGGCTAAAATAAGGGCTCTACCTCCAAAAATGGCCCCTTCGCACTGGATACCCTGAAAACACTTGCACCCGTTCCCAACGACTCGAAAAATCAAAATGGAGTCCCTCCTGGTTTTTTTTTTTTCCCTTTCTGTGGCATGCGCGGTCTGAAATACCCAAATCGATTGAGGGAGGGGAAAATATCGATACCCCGAATCAATGAGAGCTGTCAACTAACGGGCCAATTTCATGTAAACAAACAAAATCAACCAAAATCGTATCAACCTATATCAACTTGGATTGGTGCAGTGTAATACTAATAAATAATAACACTAATAACAGTATTATATTACCAAATTTTCTGGAAAATGGAGTAAGCTGTTCTTGATTTGATCCATAAAATAAATTGATTCATTCATTAATGTTTTTGAACTACCTGCATGAGCGATCAGTAGAGAGCGGATTTCTGTCGGGCTAGACAAGGCCAAACTCGGTACGGCTCGTACGGGATGGGAATTCATTGCAGTTACCGGTTGCACTTCGTTTATTTGAGATTAGAATAACGCTGCTTCGTTGCACTCTGCTGTTAATTCCAGTTCTCATTTAGTTAGCCGTTTGATTAATAAATCGTTAATTGTATTTATGGAATCAAGTGACAATTAAATTCAGTGATTAACTATCACCCGCTACTGAGTCCCGGCGATGCAGCGCGTCCCCACTAAAATCGTGACGTAGCCCGACAGAAATCCGCTGTCTAGCGATCAGTCAACAGCACGGGATCAGAGATACACTGTGATCAGAGGCGGTGCACTTTGGTTTAAAATAAGTTCACAGAGTAAAAACGTCTTACTATTTGCTTAACTATGACATAAAAAACAACAATATTTATCTCAATATAAAAACTCAAGAAAATTTTACTACTACTGGTTTTATATTCCGTCTTATTAAATTATTTTTGTATCTAATGCCCAATACTCAGTAAGCGTTTTCGAGTACATCACTATCACTAACACTAATACTGTTTCCCAGTCATATTTCTACCTATTTGGCTATCACTAACGCATAAGTCCAATGATTTCCAAAGATGTTTTTCTTAAATTTATGCTTTTACCAGCAACGTCGATGTAAACATTTCCGGTATTTATCAATTTTAAATGCCGCTTTTCCAACTGATAAGTAAAAACACCAATTTTGTCCTCAATCACATCGTTGCACCTTAAAACGCCGAGAATCGAAGTGTATTATATGTTGCATAATTCACATTGACAACCACAAAAGCTAAGTGGTTTAAATTTAACGATGTATATGTACTCAGCTTTACCGGAGTAATAAATAAATTAGCATACTATTCACATCTCTTCTTATGTAAATGCCTTTTCCTTATTTTTAGCTTAATTATATTTCTTTTGTTACATAAAATATTTTTTTAAACATTTAATTTTCAACCAACACTATAGTGTGTTAAACTATTAGGTAGCTCCGCATTTTTAAATTACCTAACTATAACTTGTGGTTACAGCGGAGAAACAGTCAGAAGTATATGAAAGAAATCTAATCATTTAACACATAAAATTAACATCTGTTGCAGTTTAATTGCTACGGAATCAGATCAAAACATAAAATATTATAACATTATTATTATACATAAGATATCTCTTAATTTAACAAATGTTTCCACACAAAATAAATGGTGTATATAAATACAAATTCATTCATCTTCAAATAAATGATCTAATTTTAATTGGGGACCTTCCGAACTTCCTGAATTGTGATTCTTTTTTCTTTTATTGATCTTCTCCCCAACAACATATTCTGGCATGACACGTTTTGAACTTCTGAAACTAGCCTTGACTTCCAACTTTGAACTTCCACTTTCTGGCGTAAACTTTTTGAAAACAATTTTCTTTGGTTCCTCATCAGCATCTCTCATGTCTTCTACACTTCTGCTCTTTAACTCATTCAAAAATGAGAGAGCTGTTTTTGTGTTACTTGAGTCAGACATATCTTCATCCTTGACATCTGCAAGTGAGTATTTTGTCCATTTATGTGGGTTCTTTTTAAAATCAGGAATTGTTCTCATGTAATTAACGGGATCTTGAGGAACTTTAAAAATGCTTTCTTTACCACGAAATTGCTTGGTTACTACTCGGCCTGATGATTTCGGCGTGTTGGGTTCTACATCGATAGCTTTCTCAGGGCGAAGATTACATTTCGTTGTAGTTAACTGATCAAAAACATTTTTTTGCCTTTCGAGAAACTCTTTGTTGCCTCGTAAAACAAATGAAGTGGTTGACTTTTTGTGACCCTCATTTTGACCCAACACCATTTTTGTAAAACGATAACCAACCAGATATTTTTGACAAAATAACACTCGTTGTTATGATAATATGATTGCTGTGTCAATGCTGTCAAATAGCTACCAGACTTGCACTTTGCAGACATGCGCACCGTGCCAACGCCAACCAGCCAACCAATGGTGCCAGACAGGGAAACAAGGTGTGTTTTATTAGCCATGTACAGAAGGAGACATGGTATAGGCATCCGATGTACCAAGTTAAAAATCGTCTGCGCATTCATTTGTGATATTAGGTGGCATCAACGACCTTGTGACTCTTGTGAGCTTCGTTAGGGAAGTCTAGGGAATTTCAGCTTGAGTTGTCATTGCTCTGTCCAATACGTCAATTAATTGTCGGCTAACGAAAGTTAATGAAATTAATAATGATAAAAATGTAATTATTGAAAGTTGAACGGTCCAAAAATGTGGTTTCGTATCAATTTCGATAAATGTGGGACATCAGCAAATGCAAATACCAATTTGCTCTTATCACTTGAGTGTTGAAAAGAGGTTTTTGACATATTTATGCTTAGTTCTCTCCACAAACCTAAATTCTGCGATCACATCAGACATACGACTGCAACCACTGAATAATCACAAATAAATTTTTGCAATCTAAAGAATGTATTTTAAATTTCGCGCTAATTTCATCCCACTTGACGTCACACCCGATGCGTATCCTTCTACCATGTTACCTACCATGGAGATGAATATAAAGACGAAATGAGATTTCAAATATAACTTTTACCAAAATTAAAAAGCCATCACTTGTTGATTTCAGTTGCTAACAAAAAAACTTCAGTGGTGATTTTAAATCATATTTACGGACATATATTGAAAATAAGAACATTTTAATTCAATAATAATGATATTAATTTTATTAAATTTAATATATAATTAATTTACAAATACTATATTCTCAATAATTAAAAGTCACACATTTTAAATGCAGTAATTATCCACTAAATTTCAAATTTAATATATTCTGATTTAAGTGTCACAGTTGATAAGCCTTCAAATAAATAAACTGATTCATTAGTATATGTACCATGGTACAAGAACAAGAAGATATGGTATGATACTGCGCATTTTCTGTGACGTCATGTGGATGTCATGACCGTCAACTTTAAATTCTGGCTTGTTGCATGTTCGTCATCGTTGCATCTGATATCAACTTAGCACCTTGGAAGATAAGTATATATATCATAACCCATGATCAAAAACTGAACCGAATCTCAAACATCCGTTATAACCTCTCATTATATCACTGATAAATTGACTTTGACAGTTTTCGAAGTTGTCAGAAGAGCGTTTCAAGCACGGTTTTCAAGGCAATGTGACGTTACGTGGCTGGTACACAGAGTAGACGAAAATTCATCCACCGGAGTAGCATTCCATGTCTTTTTTTCCACGACATGTATGACAATAAATGACGTTTTAGGAACAATTTACAATGCCAAAATTTTATAATTGTGAGTTTGCACTTCTCTAAAAGGGTTCACAACTGTACGTAAAAAAAACTGGAAAACTTTTTTTTATATAGCAAACTACACAACTTTATATTACATTTTGACGTCCTTATTTATTTTGAAGTTAAAAAAATAACATTTTTAGAACATATTTCAACCTTAGATTAAATAATAATTTATTATATTTATGATATAAGATTTCAACGGCGGGCGTGCGTTACCATTATCTTCCAACTTTTATTTTAAAAGTTTGGATAAAATCCGCTAGTGGCACCAGTTTTTCTTTAAACGTATAGTTTAAATAGTTGTGGTTTAAACGTCAGTAGTAGCGTATTGGTATTGAACTCTGGTATAGAATGAAGACTCACAAAATGCACCTCGATGTTTTGACGTTTCCTGAATTTGACGTAAGGGAAACGTCACTTCTGCAGTTTTATGTTGGGTATTTTAATGCAAAGATATAAAGCAGCACGAGGATTTTATATAAAGTAAATTTAATTGAAATATAAAGTGCTCATATTTATCACTTAAAATTCAAAAAGTCGATTGCTGCACGCTTAATTTACCATCACTCTGGAATCAATGTGTCAGGTGAGAACTGCCCTACTCGTTTGTTTTATTTTGTTTGGTAACCTCAAATGTTGCCATCAAGTTTAAAATTTCTATGGCTTAGACTATCGTGTACTATACAAACGTTTTATTTTTGCTTTACAAAATTTTGGTAAATCGTAAAACGCTTCCTTTAAGAATTCTGATCCATTTTCATAAATTTCAGCATACCGAAGATACCTATCCAAGAACCTCTTTTGAAAATGAAAAACAAATCGCTAAAACGGATTGAGAATAAAAAAAAGAAAATGGCTGCGTTATTGGAAATTTCGCAGTTAAATGAGTATGATCGACATATGAAAAAAACGCATATAATTGAAGCAGACAGTTCTAATGTACCTGATCTGGAACCTAGTATAAAAAAGCCAAGAACAGAAGCTCATATAAGGTAAAATAAAATAAAAATAATATAAACTGACGTGACAATCATGTACATTTATTTGTAGTGATAATGTTAAAGAATCGGAAATTTATAACCAGGAAGAGTTAGGCCCTTCTGGAAAACCAAAATTGAGTGGCTTTGAATTACAAGAATTAAAAAAGATGTTAAGAGAAAAGACGACAAAACTACGGCAGCAGCCCATTTTTAAATTACGGGATATGGGCATAAATGCTTCTTTAAAAACAGACCTGGATAGTCGTGTCCCTTTGTTTTTGTCAGACATACAACACTTGATCATGTATTCACAGCTTGGACATCATTCTCCATATTCACCAGCAAGATGGTGTGCACTGGAACGATTCAACAGACTTGCAACAACATGTGTTCTGTTAGTAGAAAACATATCATTGTATCACTACATGTCATATGAAAGTATGTTCCCTTTTATGCACTCAGTGTTTGAAAGCAAATTAGAACTCTTGTCATCAAATTTAAAAAACACTGATGTAGTAAAAGAACTATCTATGGTGCCTCTAACAGGAACGCAAGTAAAGAAGCTTTGTAATCAGTTTGGCACACTACAAGAAGCTGTATTAAAAAGCTCAGAAGTCTTTGATACTGTACGTAATCTGTTTCCGATTGACAAAGATGAAAAAACGGATCCTGTTGAATCAACAAAGTTACCATCTACTGATAGATTTCCAAGAACTCAGTTGTTATTATCAGGTTGGCAGATGGTTGAAGAAAACTTTCCTCTACCAATTAAGGGTTTAATGGATACCAAGTATGCAGGCTATGTATTAACAAAGGACAAATATCAAGATGTAACACCATTTAGTAAAATGTTTGGTATTGATTGTGAAATGTGCAAGACTACTACCGGTGATTTAGAATTAACAAGAGTGTCAGTAGTAGATGAAGATTTCAATATATTTTATGATACACTTGTGAAACCTGATAATAAAATTACAGATTATTTAACCAGATTTTCTGGAATAACACATAAAATGATGAAAAACATAACAACAACATTACAGGATGTCCAGGAAAATCTCAGAAAATTGCTACCTGGTGATGCTATTTTAGTTGGTCAGTCATTGGGGAATGATCTTCATGCTCTCAAGATGATGCATCCATATGTTATAGACACTAGGTAATAATAATTGCTTGCTTTTGTTTTTTTAATGCATTTTTTTAATTATTTTAGTGTTATATTTAACATCACTGGGGACCGTTCTCGAAAAACAAAACTTAAAACATTGATGAGGGAGTTTCTGTCTGAGAGAATTCAGGAGGGCAAAGTGGGTCACTGTTCCACTGAAGATAGTATTGCATCATTAAAACTTGCCCAACTCAAACTTACAAAAAATCTGTACTTTGGTGATGCTGTGATGGGAAGTGTACATAATGATTTTCGAAATTATCCCGACTTGGGGACTTTCAATTATGCAACTAGTATGTTAAAGCAAACTACAAGGTTGGATAAAACTGCGTTAGTTGTTGGTGTCGACGATGTAACCTCAAAGTACAAATATTATGTAGACAAGGGTACAGAAACTAAAGAACACGAGAAAATTAGTTTTTTCACAGAAAAAAGTTGTAAAGATATTTTTAAAAAGATATGTGAGTCCACAAATATGTTTTCATTAAATATAGGTCATGTGAAGGTACAAATGGAACAGTTAGATGGATCTAAAATGTTTAAAAATATTGATAGATGGGTAAAAGAAGTTTATGAAAAATTGCCCACCCCAGGACTCATTGTTGTTGTGCTTGCTGGAAGTGAGGGAAGCAATGGCGGTTGTTTTATTCAACTTAAAAGAGATTTGTGATTGTAATTAAATAACTATACCAATATATGTTTTTTATTCTTTATTAATGTAAAAAGAAACTCCACTTTGTCACAATGCTTTGAAAACTACAAACAATAACATCAAACTTTTAGCGACTCATTCACTGAAAATCATTACACAAGATGTCATAATTTCCTGTACTGTGTGTATGTACATTTCAGTCAGTATTTTGAAGTAGTGTAAAAGATGAATGAATACATCGCCTGAATACTGGTTTGCCGCATAGATCACAGTTCCACGCATTTTTTCTTAATTTAAAGTTAAATTTAGTAGAGATGTACCGACTGTAGGTCTGGCCGACTAACCGACTAGCCGATTGTTCGGCCAGTAAAAACCGACTGTTCGGCTTTGCTAAAACCGGTTTATAAATGCGACAGACAGTGTGTTTTCTTTTTCTATTTCTCTGACTACCTTAAAAATTTGTTTTATTTTAATAAAAGGAATAACTAAAGTTCCTTTGCTTTCCAAAAAATGTGTTAAATTTGTTTGGATAATTTTAACATTTAATTTTTTTTAGTAACTCACTACAAAAATAATGAATAACACAATTTAGGACCAGTTTATCCAATATTTTAACTGAGATTAAGTTGATCGCGCATTTAACAAGGCGTCTGATTGGCGTAGAGTCGGTCATATGGTACTTTAGCGCGGGGTTAAAAATTAAATCGCAATTAAATTTTTAATTGAGGTTCTGTAAACCGGGTTTAATTGTTTTATATACTATTTTAATTTTAATAAAAAAAAGCCGACCGATCGGCTGTTTAGCCGACCAGTCGCCGACTCCAGCCGACGATGAAAAACGGTCGAATAGTCGGCTTATCCGACCGGTCGGCCACTAGTCGGTACATCCCTAAAATTTAGTCAACCGCATTTCCATTATCTAAACAAAACTAAAACAATATAGTTTCGTACAGCAACTTTACTAAATTACCCTAGATGATGGATTTTTATTGCTAACATTTTGTATTTCATGTTGCCGTTGTAAAAAATTATAATTGAGGCGACAGTCACAGATAGAAACTTGCGAAAAAAATTATTGTAATCTACTTTTATTTATGTTGTGCGTTTTCCACAAATGTGTACAAAGGAATTATGCCTACCTTACTAAATTAAAAATGTATTACAGACATATTATGTACTTTATAATTGTGTTTGAAATTTGGTGGAGGGTCGGTAAATGCTGTTGTCTGAGTATTAACTGAAAGAGAAGGCGTTTCTAATTTGCAGACCACAGTTTATCTTGCAGACTGGAGGTTAAAAATGCTCCAATCAAGTTGAAACTCAACATTTGCTTATTTCTTAATACGAAGATTACTGACACAAAATTTCAACCCGATCGGAGAAACCGTTAAAAACTACCCCCAAAACAACCTTGCAGACTGGCACTTAAAAATACTCTAATCAAGTTAAATTTTGACATTCGCTAGTTTTTCAATACGAGAATTACACTGTGTAACAAAAAAATTATTATGTTGCTTTTTTCACATTTATCGTTGTATCCTGATGTAACTTTTGACATGCTGTGGTTCGTTTGGTCGAACTGTCCCTATTTTCATTTATTTAATTTTTTTTGTAAAAGTAAAAAATTTGTATGTATTTTGTGTTTAAATTCGAAAATCGTAGCCACACGCAGGTGTGAATTATCTGCAACTTGTTTTTGTTACATTTGCGGTTATTACAAAACTGTTGACTAAGTGAAACATTAAATAGTTCCTACGATAAAGTTCTGGGTAGCATATGAAGCTTACTTTGAGAGAACTATTAAGAACCAAGATAAACCATCAGTTGCCGGTCAAGTTTGGAAGTATAGTTTCGAGGAAACCTTACCTAAGTCTGTAGCATTTACCATTTCCCGTTTTTTAAGAGAATCAAGTAACCATCTTACTGGTTGTTATATATTTTTGTACGGTAAATATATCTTATAATTTAATTAACGTGGCAGCCCTCCCAAGCCCCAGGGCCACGCGAAGGTTCATTTTTATTTTTATTTGTAAATAATTTATGCCTTTTTTCTTCTTTGTAGTACTTCCAATTAATTAAACTGCCTTCGTTTTTTTTTTAATTAAAATTTTTACATTTTTCACTAAACAAAAAATAGTTAAATATTTTTTATGTTAGGGATTCTCTGTACGAACCAAATTCATATTCTCTAAGTATAGACTAAATTACACCCAAAACCACAAAAAAAGTCAGATAAATATTATTTTTTTATAATTTTGTTACATAGTGTTATTGATGCAAAATTTCAGCCCATTCGGAGAAACCCTCAAAAATCACCCCCAAAACAACCTTGCAGACTGGGGGTTAAAAATGCTCCAATCAAGTTAAAACTCGATATTTGCTTATTTCTCAATACGAAGATTATTAATACAAAATTTCAAGCCGTTCGGAGAAACCGTTAAAAACTACCCCTAACACAACCTTGCAGACTAGGGCTTAAAAATACTCTAATCAATTCAAAATTTGACATTCGCTAGTTTTTCAATACGAGGATTATTGATGCAAAATTTCACCCCATTCGGAGAAACCCTCAAAAATCATCCCCAAAACAACCTTGCAGACTGGGGGTAAAAAATGCTTCAATCAAATCAAAACTCGATATTTGCTTATTTCTCAATACGAAGAATATTGACACAAAATTTCAACCCGTTCGGAGAAACCGTTAAAAACTACCCCCAAAACAACCTTGCAGACTGGGGCTTAAAAATACTCTGATCAAGTTAAATTTTGACAATCCCTAGTTTTTTAATACGAGGATTATTGACGCAAAATTTCAGCCCATTCGGAGAAACCCTCAAAAATCACCCCTAAAACAACCTTGCAGACTAGGGCTTAAAAATACTCTAACCAAGTCAAAATTTGACATTAATTAATTTTTTTATTATTTTATTGTTAATTATTAATTAATTTATTAATATTTAAATTTAAAAAATATATAAATTACGAATATAGGAGTATTTGTTACAGATACGTGAATTGTGATAATTTGAGTTCATGTTTATCGCTGTTAGATAATTGTTGGTACTATGTAAGAATGCATAAGTTCGGCATTTTTTCGTCCAATCTCTCATTTTTTGTGCGTTTTTACACGTCATTTTTGCTGTTAACTTGGTTCATTCAGTACATACTCTATGCTGGGTTTGAGTTCTTTGATATATAATTAAACTTTCATCATCAGTCAAAAAATACAAAGTTAGTGGTGTTCAGAAGAGAAAATTTAAAATTCAGAGGAAACAAATCTTAAAGATATTTTAAAGAAAATTAGAGACATTTTTAATTTCTGAGAAACCTAACGTAAAAAAAAAACGTTTTGAGAAAAAGTTTAAATTAATAATAAGAAACTCAAACTTAATTTTATTTGAATTTCAAAAAGAACCCAGAAATGTGCTAATTTCTTAATTAATTATTATTAATGGGAAAACAGATAAAGATCCGTTATATTCAATACGACGCAAAATTGTCTTCATATGTAGGTCTTACAGCCTTTGGATGGTGTACACGTCCATTTCTCTAACTGTCTGGTAAATTGTTCTTCTTAATTGTTCTTCTAAATTGGCTTCCCAGCCGTTATTGTAAACCTTTCTACTTAGTATTCCCCAAATTTTGTTTTCGATTGTTCGCACTGGGGGCACTATGGGGGGATTACCTTTTCTTAGGTACAAAACTTATATTATTGCTTTCTAACCAATCCTTGGACATTCTAGTATAATGGCAACTTGCTAAATTTGGCCAAAATATTACATCGTCGTTATTATGGTGTTCCCATATATTGTTATGTATTGACCGCGTCACCTCTAGTACGGCCAATGAATTGTGCTGAAACGCCGGCCGGAGATATACCCCATCAAATCAAAATGTTATCTTTGCCTTCGACTTAAATTTTACTTGTAACTTCTTGTATATTATTTGAATAAAATCCATCGTTACCTTCCATCTCTGAATGGGCAAACGTAAAATATTTTCCATCGCCCAGCACAACCACACGATTGTCCAGAAAATGATGAATTCTCAATAGCCGGCAACATCTAAGAATTCTCTCTAACTGCGATGCTGTATGTTTTGAACATTTAGCTCTTTTGCTGTATTTTAAGTTGTTTTTGCCTATTTCTCTAGAAACTGTTATATAAGAACTCTTAACAATCGAGCCAATCTTCTTGTTGATGTTCCAGGCTCTTGTCTTTCTTCTTAATCTTTCTAAACTTATTGTGGTATTGCTACCTCGCAGTCTTTAATTGTTCTGTATATAGTTGCGCGTGTAATATATTTGGTCCAAAATATATTCACAATTTCACGTTTAGATACTTGGGTAACTAACTCTATTTTGTATGACATTGTTTAAGCGTTAATTGACATAAATCTATGACATAAATTGTATAAAATGGGAAATAAGAAAGGTTGTTTGGTTACGCTGTTGCAAATGTAACTTGATTCGATTGCATTTTAAGTTAAAAAAAAGATAGGAGTAGGTATATGTAAATTTTCTCAAAACTTTTTTACGTACTAGCGGTGAAAATGACATAGAATTGGAAAATCTTAGTAAAATTAAAGACGACTACAGTTAAGACTAATCTAGTTGAGTGCATGTATTTAGGGAAATTTTAGTTGTATTGATAAATTAAATTCTTAGATGGAAATAACGATATAGATGTGAAAATTCAAGAAAAAAAATATAGAATTTGAAAATATACATGATTTTAATCTTTCCAATGGCACTACATACCTTATTTATAAACTGTTGACACATGATGTACAAATTAACAAAAAAAAAGAACACAAATAAACGCAAAATTTAATTTAATTTAACAAAACAACAGAAACAGACCAAGTAGGATATTTTCTTAATTAAAATAATAAAGGAGGCTGTTGTTGTAAACAGTGTTTTTCATCATTTGATTATAAGTTTGGCAGTTAATAAACGTTTTCACGCGAAAACAATGCCGTTAACTCTTACAGACGTCTCCCAAATTGTCGCTCTGTTTCTGTTATTTTGTTAAATTAAATT